GGGCAGCGGCACGGGCGGCCCTGGTGGTCTTCGCTGCAGCCATTCTCGGGGAGGCTGGCCCAGAGGCCACCTGGGCCGTACAGGCTCTGGTGTAGCCGATCGCTGAGGCCTGCCAGGAGGTCGGCCAGCTCAGACCCGGCCGAGGCCTCTGCATCTTCTTGTTCTACTTCTACGTCATCTTCTTCTTTTTGTTCATCTTCGCGTTCTACTTGCTCTGTTGTTGATGATGTGGTCTTGGTGGCGGTGGTGGTTGAAGCAGCGTTGCGGGGCAAGCGGAGGGTGAAGAGGTGGGCAAAGGGGAGGAACTCGAGGTTAGTCCTGTGGGCGGCCTGGAGGAAGCGGGCGCAGACGGCCTGCTGCTGGGGCGGGGCTACGACGCCGCGTAGAAGCACGACCCCATCGCGCACATGCTGTGCCTTCATTCCTTCAACACATGGTGCGTCCATGGCCAGAGTGCTGAGCGAGTGTAAGACGAAGAAGCTGAAGGTTGCGCCGGCAACGGCAGGCAAAAGAAGTGAATCAAGAAAAGGAATTAATTAACAAAAAAAAAAAGAATTGGCAAAATAAAAAGCTTCATCATGGCTTTCTTCCGAGGTCTATGCCAGCAGGTGGAGGAGCTCCTCGAGAGAGTTGCCGAGAACCAGGGACGCGCCTGCGCCCAGCAACAGCGCCCACTCTGCTTCGATCTGGCTTTCTCCTCCTGTGCCATTGCGAACTCGCTCTGCTCAGCATTGGTCGAGTTCGATCACCACCACAGGAACTGACAAAGGGTTCATACCAGGAGCCACCACGCCAAGGCCCTTGATGCCCGCGCCAGTCGCCGCACGAATGTCGTCCACCGTATCGCCTGCTCCATACGCCGCCACCGCTTCAATCATCAGCAAAGCCGACAATCACTCTTGGCGTTGGCCGCACGCACGCACGCACGCACGCACGCACGCACGAGTGGTGGGTGAAGGGAATATATATGCACCGATGAGGACGGCGCGCGACACGCCCAGCTGCTGAAGGGCGTGGGCCACGGGGGCCGGATCGGGCTTGGGCCTGGGTGTGTCCTCCATGCACACCACGGCCTTGAAATAGGAGCCGATCCCGTAGTGTTCCAGGAACTTGCGAGCATCGGATCGCGGCCGGCCTGCGAACCCCACCAGTCAATGTGTGTGGGTGTGTGGTGCGTGTGGTGCGTGTGCGATGGCACGTACCGGTGACGATGCCCAGCGGGTGTTTGGCGGAGAGCTTCTCGAGCAGGCTCTTGTCGATGATCAGCTTCTCGGTGGTCCACAGCCCGGCGTTCTCCGGCGTGCCCTGGTAGTACTCCTCGAACTTGGCCGTGACCTCGTCGAGGCTGGGCACGACCTGGTCGGCGGGCTTGGCCTGCTCGATGAGCCGACGCGTGAGCTTCCAGTCGTTGTTGGCGTCGCCCGCGGCCTTGGCCTTGGCCACGTCCTCGCCCGAGACCTCCACACCAAAGTACTTGGCTGCGCTCCAAAGACCACCGTCAGCCACCGCACTCGTGTCGTGTCCGTGTCGTGTCTTGTCGTGAATGAGCGCCCGCGCACCGGTGAGGATGATCGCCTGGCGGTAGGAGGCGGACACGTCAGCGAGCACTCCGTCCATGTCGAAGAGGATCCCCTCGATCCGGTAGTCACCCATGATCTCCGCCACGGCCTGTACGTTTCACCCGAACAGAGCATCGATCAATAACTCGACCGCACGACACACGACACGACGCACGCATGCGACACGCAAGGCGTGGGGGGGCTGGCGACCCTGGGCACGGGCGGCAGGAGAAGCTGGGCGAGGGCGTGGATGACGCGGTCGGTGTGCCACGGCAGCGAGGACGAGATGCGGATGTAGTTCTGGAGGGCGCCGCCCTGGCTCCCGAAGTAGCGGATGAGGATGCCCCGCTTCCTCAGCCCCTGCGCCACCTCCACCGCGCTCAACGCCGCGCTCGGCAAAATCTGTCGCGTGTCGTGTCGTGTCGCGTGAGAAGAGGCTCAGGGGCCGATCGCGGCGGGGCTGAGGCAGGGCATTGCACCTCGCAGAGAACGAAGTTGGCTTTGGAGGGGACGGGGCGAAGGTAGGGCGCGAACATGGGCGAGGAGAGGAGTGCGAAGAGGCGCTCCTTCTCCTCCACCAGGAGGCGGACCGTCTTCATGATCTTCTCGCGGTGCGCGAGAGCCGCTCGCGCCGCTGTACACCGAGTTCCACCCAAAAGTTAACTAAAATGAACGAACACGAATGTGTGTGTGTGTGTGTGTGTTGTGTGTTGTGTGTGTTGTGTGTGTGTACCGGCGTCAGCGGGGATGCTGATATTGTAGGGCTGCTTGAGGGCCATCATGCCCTCCACCAGCTTGGCACTCGTTGAGACGGCGTAGCCCACCCGCACGCCAGCCAGGCCTGCCCACTTGCTGCACTCCCCCCCCCCGCGACACACGTTAGCTCACACCGTAGCCACCGAGGCCACGCACATGTGCGTCACCGCACGCGCGCAGCGAGGGAGGTGAGACACACCTGAAGGTCCGGCACACGACAAGGTTGGGGAATTCGGAGGGCAGAGAACCATCGGCGAACGACGGCATGTCTGTCACACAGCAAAGAACGAAGACGACGATGAGGAAAGGATACGATGACGAAAGAGCGAAGGACGGACATTGGGGGGGGGGGGAATGAAGAAAAAGAGAACAGGGCCACAGAGAGGAGTGGAATGGAGACCTGCGAATTCGATGTAGGCCTCGTCGACGACCACAACACACTTTTCCTGGCACAGCTTGCGCACGTCGTCTTCGCTCATCACATTTCCTGAACAAAACCGAAGCGTTGGCAGGCTTGTCAGCTATTGAACTCTCTGGGCCTCCCGTGGTGCGTGTGCCGTGTGCCGTGTGCCGTGTGCCGTGTGCCGTGTGCCGTGTGCCGTGTGCCGTGTGCCGTGTGCCGTGTGCCGTGTGCCGTGTGCCGTTTTGCGTACCTGTGGGATTGTTGGGCGAGGGGATAAACACGAGCGGCACCGCATTCTCCCTAATGGAGACCACGATCGCGTCCACATCCAGATCGAATGTGTGCGGCTGTGCGTCGCTCACGAAATCAGAACGCGTGTGTGCCGTGTGTTGTGTGCGCCCTGGTGCGTGTGGTGTTGTGTACCTTGCGCGGGACATCGATCACGCGGGCAGCCGCCACCTTGGCCAGGAAGGAGTACATGCCGAAGGTGGGCGTACTCGTCAGGATGACCTTGGGACTCAGCAGGCGAGTGATCATATCCAAGATATCATCGGACCCTACATATCACGACACGACACGACACGACACGACACGACACGACACACGACACGACACACAACGACGCACCCGACACACACGGCACACACGGCACGATCAGTATGGAACACGAACATGTTACGCATGTATGAGCAATCGGTTGGGACCCTCGGCCAGCGGGAAAAGAAAAGAAGAGAGGAACACGAACCAGCGCCGCACACGATCTGTTGTGGCGTGAAGCCCGGGTGGAGGGTGCGCACGAGCGCCTCCTTGAGCAGCGCCTGGTCTGGGTCTACGCAGCGAAATTATTAAAAATAAATAAATAAATAATTAATTATATCTAAAATAAAGAATGAAAATAGCGAAGAACGGGGGAGTGACCAGGATAGATGTGGAGCTTGGAGAAGGCGTCGACGATGGCCTGCTTCACCTCTTCGGGAGTGCCGTAGGCGTTCTCGTTGGCGTCCATCTTGATCAGATCCTCCACCCGGAGGCCGACGTCCTGCGCGATTGACTCGAGCGACTGGACCGGCGAGTACTTGAGGGTCGCCACATCAGGTCGTATCAGCTGCACCGTCGTCGCCGTCCTATCCTCCATCTTGTGCTGCACAAAAAACAAAAATATGGTATTTTCATTTTATTTTAAATAACAAATAAAAGAAAATACTGAGAATGTCGAATATGCAAGCAAAAAGAAAAAGGCGAGGAAAATCGCGTGGAGCGCGGTCACAGAAAAAAAGGCAGGGGCGAACACGCAAGCACGGATTGATAGATAGATAGATTGAGGACCAGTTTGAAAGAGATGGCGAGCAGAAACTATGGCGAAGACATGATCCCTCCGCCTCAGGCCGTTTCGGTAGGCTCCCATCCCAGAATATATACTTGCATTGGCCTCTTCATCTTCGCAGCTAATTGATGAATCGTTCACCCTCTTTCATCTTATTTTCATTCCCTCGAAGAATGACAACCCTTTCAGCTCAGGTACGGACAGAACACATCGCGTTGATTGAGATGTTGTGTGCCTAATAGATTGCGCATCTCGCTCTCAGGTGGTACGCAGTACGACTTCAGCGATGGCGGCGCCTACGAAGATCTCTACACCCAAAACAACCCCTACGCTGGCAGGTATACCACCACTCCCCTCTTCGCTCGCACCCGCACACACGAGTTGCCGCAGCACGACACGCACTACTCTCGGTGAGTAGCTCTGATCTTCAACGCAATATCGATGTGCTGCACCAGCTACGCGGCCCAGCCGGCCCAGCCGCAGCAGCAGCAGCCGAACTACGACTACAACAACCCGATGCCCGACTTTGAAGGTACCGCGCATAACGAGTCGAGCCCTTGCTGCGTGCTGAAGGAGAACATGGTCATGACGATGACGCTCATGTGGGCGCCGCGCACTCGTCGTATAACATCGTCCGCTGATCTGCAGAGGATCGGTTTCCCGGCCAGAGGGACAACTACACGGATCTCGAGAGCGAGATCGGCGGCAACGTCATGGCGCCCTCGTCCAGCTCGGTACTGCTCTCAGCCTCGTCGCGTATCGTTTTTAGCGCTTCGTCGACAAAGGCGTCTGACGCACCACCGCGCACGCCGCAGGGCACGCCGCTGCCGACTACGGACGGAGAGGGCAAGCCGTACCGCATCTGGCACGTCGAGTACTACTCCAAGTACTTTGACGTCGACACCACCGAGGTGGGCGCCCGGATCATTCGCAGCCTCGTCCCCTTCTCCTACAAATTCATGGACTCGGTCGCCCACAACCCCGACCTGTACGCGTTACCTTCCGATCGTGTGTGTGTGTGCGTGTGTGTGTCTCGTGTGCGTTGCGTGTTGTGTCGTGCGGCGCTAACCGAATCGATCTTCGGCAGCTGGGGTCCGTTCTGGATCGCGACAACGCTGATCTTCGCCATCGCCGCCGCCAGCAACTTTGCCTCGTGGCTCGACAACAAGGAGGCCTTTTCCTATGATTTCGAAACGGTTCTCCCTTCTTCGGCTCTTCTCCTCCGCCGCTTCAATTCCCACTTTTCCCACTTGTATCGTCGGGCGTGTGAGGTCTCACCAGCGACCACCACCAGGTGTCTGTCGGCGCGGGCACGATCTACGGCTATGTGAGCCTGGCGCCCATCATCCTGTGGGCCATCTTCAAGTGGCTGGAGATTCCCGTCACGCTCCTCCAGAACGTGTGCATCTACGGCTACTCCCTCTTCGTCTTCCTTCCCGTCGCCGTACGTGCCCCCCCTCTCCTTTTGATGGTTTTTGTTAATAATTGTATTATTTCTTTATATTATTTGCTGTCTTTTTGGTGGTGTTGTGTGTGTTGTGTTGATTACATCTCTTGCTTGGCTCAGGGCTTGTGCATTCTGCCGTTCGAGTGGTTGCGCTGGACGCTCATCTGCTCGGCCGCTGCACTCTCGATCACCTTCCTCCTCATGAACTTTAGCGCGCCCATTGCCCAGAACAAGTACCCTCCCCCGTCTTTCTAATTAGCGTGGAAGGCGATGACGACGATGGTTGCTCACTACCACCTCCTCTTCCCAAGGTACGAGGGTCCTCGGAAGCCGATGATCGTGGCCGGACTGCTGACGGTCATCGGCCTCGCTCACTTTGGTCTGGCGCTGGCCTTCAAGCTCTACTTCTTCAACTACGTCGAGTAAATCTGTAGGTCCCTGCTGAAGAGGTCATTCATTCATTCATTCATTCGCCATCACACCTGTGTTTTGTTGAGGATGGAAACACTTATA